GGACGTTATGCAGGCTTAGGAGACACGATAATTTGGATGAGCTAAAGTTTACTGTCATTGGCGATCACTTGCTAACAAGTATGTATATCTACCTAGCAAGTTCCATGTCACTAGGAATGGATTCTGTGAGCCCTTTATGTGGCTGATGAACCCAATCCTAGAGCTATATCTCCAATCACACATTTTGTAGGTGTTTCTGAGCGGTGGAATTAGTCCTTGGCTTTGATCATTAGCATTTATTTTTCCGGTTCCTTTCTCAGTATTTCCTCTTGCCAACAGGTATTCTTGAAGAATTGTGACCCTTCCTATAGGAAGTTCCTCCAAGTCAATTTCTTCTGAATGAGGGCCTCCCACGCATTGACATCTATGTTGCATTTCTTAAGGCAAGCCTTCAGGGAGTCTTTGAAATACTTCCTTTGTTCTTATTTTGTTTAAGTGCCTTCCTTGAGGTGGATGTAGCTGATGTGCTTTGGCAGTCAGAATTTGGATATTCTGGCTGGCACAGCGGACTTGGTTTCAGACGGTGGTCTCAATGCTGGTGCTATTAGTTGCTTCAAGGACACTGATGTTAGTCTGCCTATTCTCCCAGCTGACAATCCGTCTCAAAAAGTGTTGATGGTACTTCTCAAGTTACTTTAGGTGGCATCTATTTGTAGTCCAAGTTTCACAGCCATACAGAAGTCAGAAGGATGATTGCCTTACTTGCAAGGATCTTGGTAACAGCACAGATGGTCATCAAAGACTCATCCTTCGCAGTCTGAAGGTGCACTCGCAGATGGGATGGGGTGTTGAATCTCCACAATGATGTCAGTCTTAAATGAAAGGTGGCTCCCCAGGCAGAGGAAATGTTTCACATTGGGAGGATTTTTCCTTTGTACTTAATTGAAGGATGGCGTGCAACTTGCACTGGCATGGGTTGGTAAAGGACTTGAGGCTGAGACCAATTCTTTGGCATGGTTTTGCGAAGGTGTTAAATAAGGCTTGAAGATTCTCTTCTGAGAGAGCAGTGATGACATTATCTGTATATTAAAGTTCCCAAGCAATGTTGGTGTCATTTTCTTCTTGGATTTCAACCTGTTGAAGTTCATAAGTTTTTCCCATCCATCCCCTAGACAATGTCCACACCGCTGGGAAGCTTGCTGTTGACAAGATGTATAATGGGCAATGGAGAAATGGGTAGGGATGATGACATATCCCTGATTGACTCCTGTCTTGACTTCTAAGGATTCTGCCTCATTACCTTCAGTGAGAATTGTCACTGATGACTTGTCATGGAGAAGATGGAGGGTATTGATGAATTTCTCTGGTTTTAGCATTTCCTGATTGACTGACTGAATCAAAAGCCTCAGTCAGATAGATGAAGGCCACGTAGAGTGGTTGGTTGATGTTATTCCTGGCATTTTTCTTGGAGATGCCAAGCTGTAAAAATCATGTCCTTAGTTCCACTGTTTGGTTAGAAGCCACACTGGCTTTCAGGAAGGATTTCCTCAGAGATTGGGAGAAGGTACCTAGCAAGGATTCTGGCAATTATCTTCCCGGTGATGGATGGGGTGGAGCGGAGGGATTCCTCTGCAGTGTTCCTGAGATTTCTTCTTCTTTGACCCAGATTTTCAGTAAAAGTTAATATATGATGGTTAAGCTCTGCTCCTCTAAGTTTGAAAATATCTTCTGGAATCCTGTACACTCCCATGGCTTTTCCATTCTTCATTTGTTTAATGGTGTCTTCGACTTCTGTCATACTAGGTTGGAGTCCAAGGTCATCTTTGACAAGGAGTTGGGGGATTTCCTCATCTATGATTTCATTCCTGGTTTACGAGTTCTTTGAAGTGTTCTCTCCATCAGAGGCTGATGTTTTCTGTGTCTCTGAAAAACGTTTTGTCCTTACTCTGCAGTAGTTTGAGTCCAAAGGTATTGGGCCCATGTATTGCCTTGGTGGCATTGAAGAAACCCTGGGTGTCATGCTTGTCAGCAAGAAATTGCAGCTTCTTGGCTTTTTCAGTCCAGTTTTGGTTGATGTTCTTCTTTGTAACTGTGACTTTGCTGTTTGATGAGTTTTCCTCTTTGTCTTGCTGTTAATGGCATTTTACCAGGCATGCAGAACTTTCCTCTTCTGTCTATGATGACTTAGATGATGGGGTCATTCTCATTGAACCAGTCTTGGTGTTTCCTGATCTTAGTTATTATTTCTTCACAGTATGAGTTGATGGCTCTTTCACTTCATTAAAACGAACTCTGAAGATTTTGGTGAAGATGTTGGAAGGTTGCTAATCTGCTTGGCTTTTGAAGTCGCTAATGTTGAGCTTTTTTCCGAACCATTTCTTTGTCGTCAACTGTGTCTGATGGCATTTGATGGACATAGAGGAGCAGATGGTCTATCCAGCAGTCAACTGCCCTGGTCATTGCTTTGGTAATGAGGACATCCTTTTATTCTCTGGATTGATTTATGACATGTTGAATTATGTGCCCGTGCTTTGATTTTGGATGCATCTAAGAAGTCTTGTACTTGTCTTTTTGGTAGAACAGCTGGTCTTCTGCACATTTGATGAACAGGAGGATTCTGCTGGAGTTGAGATTCCCAAATCCTCCCTTTCCAAAGGTTCCTTTTCACAGTTGGGAGTCCTTTCCAATCCTGGCCTTGAAATCCCCAAAGAGGATCATTTTATTCTCCTTAGGGATGTTGGTGAGAAGGATGAAGTAGAAGCCTTCTTTGGTCTCATCTGTGCCATGAAATGTTGGGGCATAGGCACTCATGACTGCTGCCTTCTGGTTCTTGTTAAGTTGCAGATGGAGAGTCATAAAGTGACTGGTGGTACCAAAAAGGAGCTCCAAGGGTGGTTTTTGAGATTGTTCTTCATGGTGAATCCAATTCCATGCCTCCTGGGTTGATCCTCAGCATTATGCCTCCAGAAGAACGTGTAACCACTGCCATTGTCCCTCAGCTACCCTTCACTAGTCTTCTGCAGGGAAGCGATATCAGTGTTCAAGTACCTAAGTGCATAGGCAACAGGGGCAGTTCTTGGCACCCGATTGCTTTGCTGATTATCCATGAGTATTCATGCAATCCAAGTTCTATGATTGAGTTTGACTTTGGTTTTTAGACCACAAATGATTGAGCTTGTTGAATGCAGTTTCCAGCCAGATCAAAGAGGCAACTGACTGTATTTAGGGCACCTTTTCTAGCTCCTTCCCCAATGCGGATTGAGCAGTGTGGATTCTGAAGAGGGCTGTGCAGTCATAAAGCTGTCAATGCTCTCCTGTTCCTGTTTGAAGAGTGAAATGACTGAGTCAAAATCCACTGCGTATGTGCCATTCCAAAGCTAGGGATTTCCAAACACTCATCTCTGTCCCTTTGCGTCTCACCACAGGGCTTGTGTTTTATGTGTATGTGTGTGTGTGTGTCTGTGTGTAGTGTTGAATTACTCTAGATTGATGCTTTTTTGCTGAACATCTTGTAACGTGGGAATCCTATCGCAATGCAGCAGACACGTGGTCCTTGGCAGATGGTGGATTCAGTTTTAGCGGCAAGGAAACCTTGATGACTGGGAATCTCCCTGCTGCTGCAGCCTTCATGTGCTGTCACAGTCATTGATATCACCGACGTTTTGCATCTGAATCGCCAGTGAGGACTTGTTTTGGATTATGCTTTATTTAGTTCCTTCCCTCTGACCTTAACATCATGGGTGGTCCTGCCAGAGGTTGAAAACTGCTGACAGCCTCGCTCTCTGAATCAGTGAAACACTCTCCTCCACAACAAGGTGGTAATCCAAGGAAACGGAAGTAAAGTACATAGAGCAGAAAATGAGAAATTGGCAGGATAGAATTAAAATGATCAAATCCAGAGTTCATACAGCCATGGACAAGGATTTCATCAACAAATGAGCTGAGCCAGGGTCAGAATCAGGCAATGTTGGAGATGGAAGGAGATCATGCTGAAATGGTCAGTAGCTTATTTAAGTGGATAAAATTTCAGCTCATCCAGTAATAAATGTCAGACAAGCTGTGTCATAAATCAGTTGCTATGGAGAGATGGTGTGTATTTTCAATGTTAGGAGAGGTTAAGGGAGGAAATTTGTAGCTGGGGATGACACAACTGAAGACAGGGGTGTGTGAAAAGCTAGAAGTAGAGAGCAGTTTATAATGCTTCTAAGTTGGTGTCAAACCCAACCTTGAAGTTATCCTCTGCACACCAAGACTGCTTTTCCTAATTATATTAATGTTCAAGATCCCAAAATTGACCCCTGGGGAACAACACTACAAACCTTCCTCCCATAAAATATCCATTGATACTATTTGTTTCCTATCACTCAGTCAATTTTGTATTCATATTGCTGCTGTCCTTTTTATTCCATGGCCTATAATTTTCTTCAAGTCTTTTGTGCAGTACCATATCAAACACCTATTGGAAGTCCATGTACACATCAACAACATTACCCTCATCAAGCCTATCTCTTCAAAAAAACTTCAGCATATTTATAAAGGGAAAGTTATGTTTTAGTAATATCTCAGAAGCTTCCCCACCACTGAAGTTAGACTAACTGGTCTGTAATTGCTGGGTTTATCTATCTTCCAAACTTTCTTGAAGGTGACTGTAATGTTTGCAATTCTCCAGTCTTCTGGCACCTCACCCAAGTCCAGACCAGGCAAAGATTACAGTCAATGTCCCTGCAATCCACTCTCATTTCCTTCATTTTCCTTGGATCCATTTCATCCAGTCCCAATGATTTGTCAACTTCAATTACCTACAGCCTAACACTTCTTCCTTTAATCAATTTTGAACCCTTTTTGTGACAGAGTTTCTTCTTCTGTCACCATAGTCTGGGAAGCATCACCCACTTTGGAAAAGATAGATACAAAATTTTAATTTAAACACCACAACCATGCCCAACCTTCTATGTTTAAATCCCATTTTTGGTCTCTAATCAGCACTCAACTGTGGCATTTTAATTGGTATCTGCGGAATGAGAATGCACATAAATCAATTTGGTTTTATAACCACATAATACAAGCAGAAACAGAAATGACTTTTATTTAAATTCTACAATTCAGTTTGCAAATAAAAAAACTCAAGGCAGCTGTCCACAATCAGCAATGACAATTTTCTTTGTGGGTTTGCCATCTTTGCTGCCGCATGAGTCCATCTTCTTCACAATATCCATTCCATCAATCACAGAACCAAAGACAACATGTTTTCCATTCAACCTTCAAGATTCAAGAACAGTGGTGAGCACCAAATCCTCCAGTGAAAAATTACAATGAGAATTTAACTATACATGAACTTACCATTTAGTCTCTGCAGTGCAGATAAAGAACTGGGAACCATTTGTATTTGCCCCAGCATTGGCCATGGAAAGAATACCTGCAAGAGTAAGATTACAAAAAGTAAGCATTCCAGAAATATGTTCACATTCCTCTTTCCTGTACAATTTGTACTTAAATTCATTATCTTGGTTATATTTTTGGATGTGGATGAACAACTTGGAGGAAAGAAACAGTGACAGTGATTTAGGGTAGGAGGAAAGAGGCTTGAAGAGTTGACTAGACCTGGTAATGGAAGTACATTCACATGCATATTTTGAAAATGGATAAGCATAGAGCAAGATGGACGGACTTAAATCAGGCATTGAGAATGCTGAGGCCCAATGTATTGGCCATGTATTCACAGTGGAGAAGCAGCTGACTGGACACAATAGGTTAGAGAGCTGGAACAATTCAACTCACATCAACATAGTCAATCCCAAAACATGAAAAATATTGGTTTCCCCTGCAGGAGAAAATGGTCCAATTTGCTCTGTTTTTGGTACCTGTTGCATAAGGCACTGAGTGCCTGAAAGGCTTAACTGGCTTCATAAAACAAACTCCGTTCATAAGGACATAAAATTCGATGTCTGCAAGGAGCTAACCAGTTCAATGTTTGTTACCAAAGCAATGTGTTTTGTAGCAGTCAGTTTTAAGCAAAGCCTGAGGTCTTACTATGGATTTTCACATAATCCAGATGTATTGTAACATGCTGTTAGATAACATGTAACAAATTTTTATTGTTTTTCAAGACAGAGACAACATCCTGCTGAAGACTGCTTGGACATCCTTCCATGCGTTCTATCAGTAACTCAGCAATACCGGTAAGAGGAATTGGTGGCAGTAAATCACCCGATCCCACCCAGTATCTCAGACTGTTCTGGTGAACATTACCACAATGCATAACATGCTGACCAAGATGTGGATTTTGCCATTGTACCAGTTAATACCTCCTCCAGTTAAGTTATCCCTGGTTTACAATTGCCATATTCTCCATTTCAGCAGCACTACCATGTGGGCGCTGACTTCAGCCAAAGTGAAACTCAAGAAAAGATTGATCGTCTAGGCACTTGGCAAATTGTCCTTCCACGATATTAGAAACAGTGAAAACAGCAGAAGAACCTGGACAGGTCAACAGACTTGTTGTTTGAAAGCTCAAGCAAGAAATTAAAGGGAACACTGCAATTCAATTGCACCCTTTAAATGAAATGATTTGTGTTATTTTGAACAAACAGATTTTAAGTTCAGGTTTAATACCAGTAACTCAAAAGAATCCTTTACACTGAGCCAAAAAAGACAACTCCCCATTCAATTTCTCCATTCTATCTAAATGTTTGATCCCTCCCTGTCTTACACCTCACAACTGAACAAATACCACAACCCTATACCTGAGTAATCAGTTTCCATACGGTGTATTTACTCACACCCAGCACTGAATTTTGGTTGCTTAAATGAGAGTTAGACTCCCTCAGCCTACTTTCCAAGTCAGCATGATCTTATCAATGAGTCAGTCTCCTCAATTGAGCACAATGACTCTATAACTAAGTCAGTAGAGCCTGGAGAGAGATATAGTTTTTGTAGGTGTAGTCTGCCAGGAGTAGACAGCAGGAGTGAGAGACTAGAGTTGTCATCTGTAGTTGATAAGTTTGATTTAGTTGATTAGGTTCAAAACGGCAGGAGAACTTGGCCCCAGGAAATACTCCTCCTGCAATCAGTGGGAAGTCAGCGACACTTTCAGAGTCTGTGGTGACTACATATGCAGGAAGTGTGCTCAGTTGGAACTTCTGATTTTCCACATAGAGCAGCAGGAGCTGTGGATGGACTCACTATGGATCATCCATGAGGCTGAGAATGTCGTAGATAGCACGCTTAGCGAGATTCTCACACCACCAGTAAGGGATGCAAAGGCAGAGAAGAGTTGGGGGACCACCATGAAGTGTGGGCGGGCAGGCAGTGCAGGAGTCCCCTGTGGCCATTCCCTCTCAAACAGGTATATCATTTTGGATGCTACTGGAAGTAAGATGGCCTCTCAGCATAAAGCAGCAGCAGTAGCCAATCAACAGCACCATCACTGGCACTGTTGTACAGCAGGGAGGGTCGAAGTTTAGGCGAGCAGTACTGGTTGGGGACTTTGTAGTCAGGGCACAGATAAGTATTTCTGTGGCTGCAAGCAAGACTCCAGGATGGTGCGTTGCCTCCCTGGTGCCAAGACAGTCTCTGAGTGGGCGCAGGATATTCTGAAGACAAAGGGTGATTAGCCAGGGGTTGTGGTGCATATTAGTACTCAACAACATAAGCAGAAAGACAGATGAGGTCCTGCAAAGGGAATTAGGTAGAAAGTTGAAAATCAGGACCTCCAGGGTTGTAATCTTAAGATTACTTCCTGTGCCACTTGCCAGTGAGGCTAGGAATAGGAAGATAATTAAATTTAAATTTAAATTCAATGGCTAAAGAACTGGTGTAAGAGGGAGGGCTTCGGGTGTGTGGATCAATAGGACGTGTTCAGGGCAGGTGGGACCTGTACTAGAAGGACGGTTTGCACCTAAACTGGAGGGGCACCAATTTCCTAGCAGGGAGGTTTGCTGCTCAGGAGGGTTTAAACTAGTGTGGCATGGCTGCAGGAACCATAGCAGCAGAACAGCAAGTAAAATGACCAAGGAGGAGTCAGAGACTAAGGTCAGCAAGCCTTAAGAGGAAGAACAAACAGGGAAAGGTTACTGAACACAGCAAGACTAGCGGTCTTAGGTGTATTTGTTTCAAAGCGAGGAGTATGACAGGTAAGGCGGATGAATTTACAACTTGGACTTATGCCTGTAGCTATGATGTTGTAGCTATTAGAGACTTGGGGCAGACTGGTAGCTTCGCGTTCCGAGATCTGGATGTTTCAGGTGAGATAGAGAGTGATGTAAAAGAGTTGGGTAGTTGCATAACTGATAAGGGAGAGTATCACAGCTGTACTGAGGGAGAACACCTTGGAGGGCTCATCCAGTGAGGCCATCCGGTGGAGCTCAGGAATAGGAAGGGTGCAATCACTTTAATGAAATTGTACTACGTGCCTCTTATTAGCCAGCAGGTGACAGAGGGACAGATAATGGAAAAACTAAAAACAACAGGGTTGCTGTAGTGGATGATTTTAACTTCCCCTATATTGACTGGGATTCGTTTGGTACCAAGGGCTTAGATGAGGGGGAATTTGTTAGGCGTGTTCAGAATGATTTCTTTGAAACAATAAGTAAATACCCCAACTAGGGAAGGGGCCATATGAGGCCTGCTATCGGGGAAAGAGCCAGTCCAGGTGATCGAAGTTTCAGTGGGGGAGCATTTTGGAAACGGTGATCATAATTTTACTTATGGATAAGGACAAGTATAGTCCTTGGGTAAAAAGTATTAATTTGGGGAAGGCTAACTACAACAATATTAGGCAGGAAGTGGTGAATGTAGATTGAGCTAGCTGTTTGAGGGTAAATCCACATTTGGCATGTGAATCAAAGGCCAGTCGATTAGAGTTCAGGACCAGCATATTCCTGTGAAAATAAAGGATATGGACAGTAAGATTTGGGAACTTTGGATGACAAAAGAAATGGAGAGTTTAGTCAAAAAGGAAAAGGAGGCACAAGTAAGGTTTAGAAAATTGAAAACAGACAAAGGTCTTGAAGAATACAAAGATAGCAGGAAAGACCTCAAACAAGGACAGGAGAACAAAAAGGAGCATGAAATGCCTTTGGCATAAAGGATTAAGGAGAATCACAAGGCATTTTATACGTAAATCAACAGCAAAAAGGTAGCTAGGAAAAGGTAGGTCCATTCACGGATAAAGGAGGGAATTTATGCATGGATTTGGAAGGCCTAGGTGAGGTCCTTAATTAATACTTTGCATCGATATTCACAAAAGAGAAGGACATAGTGGATTGAGAGTCTCGGGAAGGGTGTGTTGATATTCTAGGTCATGTCAACATTAAAGAAAAAAGTGGTGATGTTGAGTGTTTTAAAAAGCATTAATACTTGTATGTCATCTTTAGTCACAGGCGAGGTCCCAGAGAACTGGAGAATGGTCAAAATTGTTCCTTTATTTCAGAAGGGCAACATGGATAATCTGGGAAACTGCACATGTAGTTTGCCTGTAAGTGAGCTTTACATTAGTAATTTCCTTACAACTAGAGAAGATTCTTAAGGATAGAATTTACTCACATTTGGAAAAGTATGGACTTATTAATGGTAGGAGGTGTGACTTTGCACAGGAAAGGTCAGTCTCAGTCACAGTAGTACAGCACGGAAACAGACGCTTCCATCCAACTCGTCCATGCCAGTTATCCTAATTAACCTTTCCCATTTGCCAGCATTCGGTACATATCCCGCTATACCCTTCCTATTCATATTCCCATCCAGATGCCTTTTAAATATTGTTATTGTACCAGCCTCCTCCACTTCCTTTGGCAGCTCATTCCATACATGCACCAGCCTCTGCCCCTTAGGACTCTTTCAAATCTTTCCCCTCATGTTAAATCTATGCCCTCTAGCTTTGGACTCCCCTCCCCTGGGGAAAAGACCATGGTATTCACCCTATCCATGCCTCTCATGATTTTATAAACCTCTACAAGGTCACCCCTCAGCCTTCGACACTCCAGGAAAAAGAGCTCCAGCCTAATCAGCCTTTCCCTCTAGCTCAAACCCTCCAACACCAGCAACATCTTTGTAAATCTTTTCTGAACCTTTCAAATTTAATATCTATCTTGTAGTAAGGAGACCAGAATTGAATGCAGTATTTCAAAAGTGGCCTAACTAATGTCCTGTACAACCACAACATGACATCCCAACTCCTGTACTGAATGCACTGACCAACAAAAGCAAGCATACCTATAGCCTTATTCACTCCCCTCTCTACCTGCAACTCCACTTCAAGAAATTATGAACCTGCACCCCAAAGTATCTTTGTTCCGCAAAAGATGCCATTGCTGCGTTAAAGCAGATACAGTCGGTTAAGAAAATGAACTCAGCTCACAGATAAGGTGAACAGTGCAGAAGGCGTTTGGCAGAAATGTTTTGAAACAAAAACAGAAGTTGCTGGAAAAGCAGGTCTGGCAGCATCTGTGAAGAAAAAAAATCAGAGTTAATGTTTTGGGTTAGTGACCCTTCCTCAGAACTGATGGTGGTTGGGAAAATGTCAGTTTATATACAGAAAATAGGTAAGGGGTGGGGTAGGGAGTAAATGATAGGATAGAGCCTAAAGAGAGAGAAGAGCAGTTGGACAAAGGAGTTGATAACAATCCGGCTGAGAGGGTGAATAGGGGACTATTAACGTAGCTGTAATGTTCTATGTTCTAATGACTGACAATAGGTGGCGTGTAATGACAGGATATATGACAACAAGGCCTGGTGTGTGGGGTAGGGGGCTGGGACATGGGAGAGTTTAGGTCCTAAAATTATTAAACTCGATATTGAGTGCGGAGCGTTGCAGGATCCCCAAGCAGAAAATGAGGTCTTGTTCTTCCAGCTTGCATTGAGCTTCGCTAGAACACTGCAGCAAGCCAGAGACAGATGTTGGCCAGGGAACAGGGTGGTGCGTTAAAGTGGCAGGCAAGAGGTAGTTCAGGGTCTTTTTTGTGAGCAGAACGTCAGCCACCATCAGTTCTGAGGAAGGGTTACTAACCCGAAACATTAACTCTGATTTTTTTCTTCACAGATGCTGCAGCAACTTTTGTGGAGTGGTCACCCAGTCTTTGCTTCGTTTCCTCAATGTAGAGTAGACCACATTGTGAGCAGTGAACGTAGTAGACTAGATTCTGGGAGAAATGTTTTGAGGTGGGGGACAGACTCGAATGAAATAGGCAGCCTCAGGCATATCTTGTTTTAAATAGGAAGAAGAAAGTTACTGCTGAAATGTTGGTGCTACATCATGCTATGCAGGCCCTTTCCAATGAAAAAAAATTACGAACTTTTGGTGTAATTGGATCATTTGATTAAAACACAGACAGCTATAACTCCTACATTGAGATTCCATTTTTTTTTGAAGCTAACAAAATTGAAGCAGACAGTCGTCCTTGTGTTCCTCAGTATTATGGAGGGAAAAATGTTTCAACCTTCTGAATAGTCTGATACAGCCAGAAAAGCTGGATTCCAAAACCTTATGAAGAAACAGTTGGAATTGTACAGAACCATTTTTCACCAAAATCATTGGTGATTGCTGAAAGATTTAGATTCCACAAATGAAACCAGCATAATGGTGAATTTATCTCTCAGCTCATAGCAACTTTAAAGATGTTAGCACAATACTTCCAATTTGGAGACAAATTAAATGATGCTATCAGAGACAGACTCGTGTGTGGTTTAAAACGTGAAGTAATCCAGAAAAGACCACAAACAGTGAGGAACCTAGACTTTAAGAAAGCATTGGAAATAGCAGCCAAGGAAGCTCAACAGCTAGAGTATGACAGCTGAGATACGGGCACCAACACATGCTCAAAACTGTCATCGTTGTGGAAAAAAAAAGCTTACGCAGCAACAAGTTACTGGTATGAAGAAGCTGTATGCAGAAAGTGCAGCCAAAAAAAAAAAATGGCAGATTGAACAGGCGGTTGAGGAAGAAACATGAACAACACAGCAGAAGTACCAAAACCAAAAGGAAGGAGGACAAAAGTATGGTACAAAAAAAGGGGCACGTGAAAAAGCACAGAATCTCAGTCCATTGAGAAGCTGTTATTAAGCACACTGGTCATCGCTGGAGACACCAACCGACACTGGATCATTCCCTTATTGAACTGCAAATGGGTATCAAATGGAGGTAGACACAGGAGTGGCGGTTTCATTGATAGATGTATCAGAAGCAGACGAGTCACATTTTCACAGTTGTAGCACAAAGTGTACTAAGAATGTACACAGGCAAATTGATGTCTTTAAGGGATTGTAGCAATAAGAATGTTCAGTTATCTGGTCAGCCTGCAGATTTGTTGTCAAAGGATATCTTCCATCTGTATTGGGAAGAAAGTAGCTGGACAAAAATCAAACTCAACTAGGCTGAAACAAATTGCTTGTCAGATTCTGAGAGTGATCCAAGGAAAATTCTAAAAATGATAAATTCTAAGCAAACTTGCCATTGTTTTCAATGGAAATCTGGGAAGCATGGGAAAAATCTGTCAAATTGAAAATCAAGGAGAAGAATCAAGCAAAAGGTGAGAACAGTACTTTAATCAGAGGCTCCTGTGGTAATGTCCCTGCTGCTGGGCCAAGAGGCCCAGGTTCAAGTCATACCTGCTCCAGAGATGTGTAATAACAGGTCGATTAGAAAATATGGAGAACCACCTAATTTAGAGAGAGGTGGGCACCATGGATGTGTATACATTATTTCTCCCTCCAACTCCAAAACAGGGCTCTTGTGGCACACTGGTAGTGTCTCTACCTCTCAGCTGGAATACCTTGGTTCATGACCCACCTGCCCTAGGGGTGTGTAATAACACCTCTGATCAGGTTGATTAGAAGGTATCTAGATCAGTGCCTTATGCAATCAGACCGAAGTTCAACGCACAAATAAAGGTGAAAAGAGATCTTTTGAATGCATTAAATACAGTGATAAATATTGCTGGACTGTAAATGGGTTGTTAGTGGAAGGCAATGAACAAGTTGAGGCAAAAATATATGACTTTAATATTAAGCTCCTTCAGATACTGGATAAGTAATTTTCCAGCGTGAAACTTAACTCAAAAGTCACATTGATGGTGAAAGAAAAACCAGCAGAAATCACAAAGCAATTTAAGAACTTGATGGTGACAATAGGTGAAGAGATTTTACTGAGCGGTAAAAACTTCTAATCCTGATTCTTTAGTGAAATGGTTAAAGGATGACAAAAATTAGAAAGTTATACATTTGAAATATCTCAGCAAGGAACTGTGAACAAATTGATAATTTTTCAAAAATAAAACAGAACTGCAGGCGGATGCTGGAAATCTGAAACAAAAACAAAAGTTTCTGGAGAAACTCAGCAGGTCTGGCAGCATCTGTGGGGAGAAAGCAGAGTCAACGTTTTGGCTCCAGCGATCCTTCTTTGAAATGCTGATAAATTCATCAAGTCACTGAAGGATTGAGGAAAATATACGTGAAACACACTTCTAAAGCCATTGTAAACAAGGTGCTAAATTAATTTATCAAAAGAATTACACTATGAAAATTGAAGAGAAAGGAACTGCTGATGTAGAATGTGAAACAGAACTGCCAGCACGAAAGGTTGTTTGGAGAAAAGAGAATCGCCAGAAAAACAAAGAAAAATGGATAGATACGAGGTGTGCCAAAAGCCTCATAGGAATCAAAGTCCTCTGAAACGTCTTACCTGTTGACTGTTGTATATAGGATTGTAAATATTGTAAATGCTTTCATTGCAGCAACCGCTGATGTAAAGAGGGAGGAATGTTGTGAATTTCGCAAGAATGTTGGACTGTAACTTTAAGAGTATGATCACATGACATCAGCCATGTGAGGGAAATGTCCAAGTCTAGTTTGTTGCCTTGTAAAGCAAACACCTCCCTTAATAAAGCTCCTGCAGTTGTCAAACACTTCAGCCTCCATTCTTTCTTCGGAAGCCGTGTACCCCATTCATTTCTTTGAGCCTTTTCTTAAAATACAATACATTTTCCCTTCTTCACCTTAACAAATTCATCTTTATTTCCACTCTCTCCTCACTTACTTTCTTTCCCAACATAACCCTTAAAGTCAATGGAAACAGATCAAGCTCTTTATTGAGAGATGCCCTCATCCCGTGAATGAATATTAAAAAAAAAGTTACCAGGTCCTGTGTGCTTCAATTGGAAATTCTCATCAGCAAACTTCTCTCCATAGATGGACTTACCACCAGTGCCATTGTGTTTTGTGAAGTCACCACCCTGAACAGTTGAGAGTTGAACAAGTCATTAGTCGTTTAATCAAACAGACAGCGATATTACCAACTAAACATAAAATTACACTGCTGCCTCACCTGGCACATGAAGTTAGGAATGATTCTGTGAAACGTTGAGTTCTTGTAACCAAATCCCTTCTCATGAGTGCACAGTACACGAAAATTTTCTGCAACAAAATTGTTCAGAGTATTAGCACACATGTAAATAACAAACTTGCTTCATCTCAATATAGTCAGTTTCAGGAACTTACCTGCAGTTTTTGGGGTCACATCAGCTCTGAGCTAAAAGAAACAAGCAGAGCACAACTTCAGTATTTACGTACAGTGATTTAAAAACACTAGTAGTCATTATTTCAATTTTGTATTAAGGTTCTTTATATAAAAAAATCAATCATACATGCAGAAAATGTGAGTGTTACCTCAAATCTGCATTCCTGTCTACCCTGTTAACCTTTCAGCTTCTTGCTTAAGAAGAATCACCAATGAAAATATTCAAAGCACTCTGCTTCCATCGCCTTTTCAGAAAGGGAATTCTAAAGACTGGTGACCCTCAGAAATGAAAATACTTTTCATTTCTATTTTAAAATCAGGAACCCTAATTCTTGAAGAGTGGCTCCAGTTCTGGATGCTGTTTGTGCACCCTCTTTGCAGCTGTAATACTGTATTTTGCACTCCGTTCTGCTACCCTGATGCACTTTGTATGATACAATGTGCCTGAACAGCATACAAAAACTATTGTTTACTGTCTCAATACATGTGACAACAATAAATTAAACTCAAACTCAGATTCTCCCTCAAGAAGAAAAATCCTCTTCACATCAACCCTGTGATGACCCCTCAGGATATTATATACATGTTGGAGGTCATGATGGTAGATGTTCCAATTCCTCTATTAAATGGGTGACCAGGAATCTCTCCCGACCTTACCACCTGCCATGTGTGTGTGTGTTGGAAGCATTGGCAGATTTGGCTGCACGATAAACATACCTTCCATGGCCATCAAGCCATGGATTAGGATTCAAACCAGAAAGTTCTGGCTCAAGAGGTAGGGTGCTACTCACTGCATTACAAGACCACCTTGACAGGGGAGCCATTCAAGTAAGGGGGATGAAATAGGAACATCGTTGTGATCGGGGACAGTGTAATCTATTTAAATCTGTACAAACTGTTATCTGTAGTTGTGAGCAGGGGTCCCAAAGACTGTTGCCAGCCTGGTGCTAGGGTTAGGGACATCACCTTGGGGCTAGAGAGGAATTATGGAGACAGTTACACAGAGACCAGAGCTGGGACCTAACTGTTCAGGGGAATGTGACTTTTTGAAAGGACAGGACAAAGGAAAGGGTGGTGGAGCCTTGTTGGTACATGATGGAATAAGTACAATAGCAAGAAATGCTATTGGATCAGTATATGGAAAATCCGTATGGGTGGAGGTAAGAAATAAGGGGAAGAAGACACTGATGGGAGTAGTCTCTGGTAACAGCTATACTGTAACACAGTAAACCAGGAGATAATGAGGGCATGCAAAAATTCAATGAATAACTTTAATCTTGAAAAAGACAGAAAAAAAAAAAAATGAAATTGCCTGAAGCAGCCACGATAAAGACTTCGTAGACTGTATTCAGGACAGTTTTGTTTCAGAACAATATATAGTGATTCCAATCTGGGATTAGGCTAATTTAGATCTGGCAATGTGTAATGAGGCAGGTTTAATAAGCAGGGACCAAAATATGGTAGAATTTATCATTCACTCAGAGTACGAAACTTGGATTGGAAACAACTGTGCTAAACCCGTGTACTAATCAATAAAAAGTAATTACAAAAGGAACAAGGACAGTTTAGTGACAATGGACTGGGAAAGGGGTTTAACAGAGAAATAGTTAACAATAGTTCGACATTGGTGAGAGCAGACTCAATGCCTCGGTATCTGTTTCCCCACACGGGGTCCTGAATTAAGCAGTAAGCTCTTTATTAAAAATGTAAAATGCCAGTCTTAGCCAGGAGCACTTGATGCCAAAATGTGCCTGGACGTAATCTCAGATTGGATACTCTTCTAGGGAGTGTGATGTTAGTTCCTTCTTACAGCCAAATAGAAGTAATATAATTGTTGTAAAGAGTGTTCATTTGTTCAATATTAAAAATGTCACGATTTTGAGTTCAATAAACTGTTAATCTATATGAGACAACAAGGTGCAGGGCTGGATGAACACAGCAGGCCAAGCAGCA